CCATGTCAAAACGAGCTAGGTCTAGTCATTCAAACCGTCAATCAAACCCTCCTCCTATCCCACCAAATCCTATTCCTAATCCCATTGATCCTAATTTAACTATCCAAAACTCGTGCTTCAATCAAGGTCCTAGAAATCATCGCTTTTGGTATTATTAGTATTTTGACTCGTATAAAATTAGAGAAGAACGTATCCCATCTCTTCAAGCAATGATTGATATCAATTTTAAATATCTCCCTATCTTACGAGAATGGAAATTTGATAAACTCTGTGATCTTGAACCTAAGGTTTACCATCAGCTTGTTCGTATCATTTATTCTAATGCTGTTTGTATTAAAAATCAAAATCAATCCGAAACCATAGGAGTTCGTTCCTACCTTCTAGGACAATACTTCTATCTTGACCCGGCTTACATAGCCAATGCATTAGGATTAGATAATGATGGTTTATCTAATGAAAAACAATTATTAGGTTCTCGATATAAAAGAAGGGATAGTGCATGTGTCTTAGATCTTCATGAGCGTTTTCTTCATCTAATGATCACTTGGTGGTTTCGACCATCCGGAGGTCGTTACTCTACTCTTAGAGCTTTAGATCTTTAGTGGTTACATTGTTTTGAAAACAATATTAAAATAAATCTTCCTGAGATTATTTTTGCTGAAATTGTTGAAACCGTAAACTTAGTTCCAAAAAGAAACTTTGTTCTTCTCTAGTTTATGGTTGCATTATGAGTAATCTTTTTTCTAAAGCCGAGCTTAGAGTTGGTCTAGATGCCTCATTTCCTCTTAAAAAACAAATCAATCTTCTTTCCTTAACGAGATCGGGATGGACCAAGGATAAAGAAACAGGTGTATGGGTTCGATCTGCTGAACTTACTCCGGGAGCTAGTTCTTCACAATCACCACCAGCAGTTGATGACTATTCTGACGATGAAGACGAACCAGATCAGCCCGTGGAGCAAGCACAACAAGCGGATCAAATGCCACCCTATTTTCAATCTTTTATGGAGACATTTAACTTACATTCTGCATCCATGGAATCACGCTTTTCTTTCATTGAGTCTCAACTCACTTCCTTGGGAGCTCAACAATGGGAGATGAACGATCGTTTGGATGGACTCTCTCTTGAGATGAGAGCTCGATATCCTCCTCCTCCTCCCGATCCTTCTATGAATGAATAGATCTTGCTTTGTTTTAGTTGTGTTTGGTTTGAATTTAAAACTTAAAATTGTTAAAACATTTTGAATGCTTTTGGATTGTTTATTTTTGGTTGTTCGAACTTATGTTTTATACATTTGATTTGGATTTCGTGTTTATTTTGCATCTTTAGACATATATGACCAATTATCCATTACATGTTTATGAATATTGATTATGAAACTAATGGCTAACGTTTCTCTTGATTGTGATCTTAGCAGCTTAAGCTATTTATCTATATATAATCAGTTGGCTGAATGATTTCAAAATTTGTTTAATATCTTTTACAAGTCTTTTTGATTTAACAAAAAGGGGGAGAAATGTTAAAAGTGTTTTAAAGGGGAGAAAGTGTTAAAGTAAGGGGGAGTAGAATTTTTCAAAATCAAAATTCATTTTGAAATTAGAAAATCTTAAAATGTTTTGTTATATCAAAAAGGGGGAGATTGTTGAAAACATTTTGATGTTTTGATATAACAAATTAAATTAAAATAATTTTAATTTTGAAAATGATTTTTCTAAGCATATTCGATATATTAAATCGAATATCAAAATATTACTCAAAGTATTTCAAAGTTCATTTTAAATCCTTACTAAAGTGTAAAATTAAGTTTTAATCTTAAAATAATTTCAAAACAATTTTACAAAGTATTTCGAACCGTTTCAAAGCCAAAAATTACAGTTTGTCCACAGGGAACCGATTCCCCCTCAAGGGGGTACCGAATCCTCCCTGAATGGTTTTGCTCCAAGAAATAACAGTGTGCTCGGAAGGAACCAATTCCCCCCACGGGGTATCGATTCCCCCCATTGTTCAACGGTCGAATATTTGAATTTTACACTTAGGGAACCGATTCCCCATGAGGGGGTACCGATTCCCCCCATGCTCCAAGAGAAATATTAATTGTTTTCACACTTAAACGGCTCCAATAACTTCATTAATGATCCCCAATGTTCAGAAGTGATTCAAGGTGTATTTAAACAAGCTTAGAAGCCATTGATCAAGAACAAGAAACAACAAGCAACTAGAATCAAGAGAGAATCAAAGAGAAAGCATCAAACCTCAAGTTTGAGCATTTCAAGCCTATTTTTCATTCAATATTCATTTTGCTTTCAAGAACACTTATTGTGCTCAATTGTATTTATTCTTGAGTGTTCTTTCTTTGTTCTAGAATTGTGCAAACATATTTGCCTTGTGAGGTTTTTTCTTGTAAGTTTGCAAATTTGTAATCTTCTCTTTGAGAAAAGAGTGTTCTCAAGAATTGGGGTATATTCTTGAGGGAGTTGTAAGGTTATCTCTTTGGCCTCAAAAGAAAGAACAAATAGTGAATTTGTTCGAAAATCCTTAGTGTAGATAGCTAAGGTAGTGGACGTAGACTTTGATTGATAAAGTCGAACCATTGTAAATCGCTGTGCAATTACTTTCAATTTTCTGCAAAAGCTTCCACTAAAATTTTTATTGCCAATTCACCCCCTCTTGGCCGATTCCATCGATCGATTAACTCAACAGTTTCTAATAATGATTGCCTAGGAGTACCAGGTTTGTTGGTGCCTAGTGAAGGAGATTCTCGTTTAGGGGGAGAAGTACTACAAACTAATCAACGTGATTTGAATTCTGAGCTTCAATTTTATACTAGGAAGAGATTTCATCTGATAAATAAAGACTCAAATATCAACCCTGTACGAAACCAATCTGAAGATCTAAGTTCTGGTGTCGAAACTTCAGGTAATCCTATCCCTACTACACCTTTGATTTCCTCCACTTTGTCCAACAATTCACCTAGTATTCCTGATCTTGATGTCCCTATAGCACTTAGGAAAGGTGTCCGAAATTGCACTAAACATCCCATTGCAAAAATATTTTTCCTATCACAGACTATCAAAAATCCATAAAGCTTTCACATCTAGGATTTCACATTTGTTTGTTCTAAGGAATATACAAGAAGCATTGGATGATCCGAATTGGAAATTAGCAGTCATGGAGGAGATGAATGCTCTAAGGAGAAGTGGTACATGGGAGATTGTCGATCTACCTAAAGAAAAGAAAATAGTCGGGTGTAAATGGGTGTTTACAATAAAAAGTAAAGCTGATGGAAGCGTTGAGAGATAATAGGCGAGATTGGTGGCTAAAGGCTTTACTCTGACATATGGGATTGACTACCAAGAGACTTTTTCTCCTGTTGCTAAAATAAATTCTATTAGAGTGTTGTTATCTCTTGAAGTGAACTCTGATTGGCCTCTACATCAACTTGACGTTAAAAATGCATTTCTCAATGGTGATCTGGAAGAGGAGGTGTATATGAGCCTATCGCCAGGATTTGAGAAGAAACTTGGCAGTAACAATGTATACAGATTACATAAGTCACTATATGGACTCAAACAGTCACCAAGAGCTTGGTTTGACTGCTTTGGAAAAACAGTTATCAGTTATGGCTTCTTGCAGAGTCAAGCTAATCACACAATATTTTATAAACATTCAAAAGATGGTAGAGTTGCAATTTTGATTGTTTATGTTGATGATATTATTCTCACTGGTGATGATGAAACATAATTAGCTATTCTGAAGAAAAGACTAGCAAAGGAGTTCCAAATTAAGGACCTGGGAGCTCTTAAGTATTTCCTTGGAATGGAATTTGCAAGATCTAAGGGAGGCATATTTGTCAATCATAGAAAATATGTTCTTGATCTCCTTGGAGAAACATGTCTACTTGGTTGTAAGATGGTTGAAACTTCGGTTGAGCCAAACTTGAAGTTACAAGCTTCTAAGGTTGAAGAAGTAAAGGACAGAGAACAATGTCAGAGACTTGTAGGGAAATTGATTTACTTGTCTCATACACTACCTGATATTGCTTTTGCAGTTAGCATGGTAAGTCAATTCATGCACTCACCAAGGGTGGAGCATTTTGAGGCTATCTATACGATCTTAAGATATTTGAAAGGAACTCCAGGAAGAGGCATATTGTTCAAGAAACATGGACATCTTCAAGTTGAAATCTACACAGACGCAGATTGGGCAGGAAGTGTTACAGACAGAAGATCAACGTCTGGATATTGTTCCTTTGTTGGAGGAAACCTAGTTACATGGCGGAGTAAAAAACAAAATGTGGTAGCTAGAAGTAGTGCTGAAGCAGAATTCAGAGCCGTTGCCCATGGAATCTGCGAGGCGATGTGGATAAAAAGGATTCTTGAAGAATTGAAGTTTTCTTACTCGACTCCAATAAAGGTCTATTGTGACAACAAAGCTGCTATTGCTATCGCTCATAATCTAGTTCTTCATGATCGCACGAAACATATAGAAGTGGATAAACATTTTATCAAGGAGAAAGTCAATGCGGGAATAATATGCATGACATATCTTCCAACTTATGAACAATTAGCTGATGTACTAACGAAGGGACTACACAAGAAGCAATTTGGTAAGCTGACTAGGAAGCTGGCTATGGAAGATATCTTTAAACCAGCTTGAGGGGGAGTGTTGGAAATTTGGTCATTGAAAGCCTTGATTTAATCATAATCTGTGAGATATTCTAGGATCTATTTTCTATGTAAATATAGAAAGTAAAAGATGTAAATAAAAAAAAAATAGGAAAGTAGAAGCTGTCAAATATTGGCTCAAATTAGTTTCAATTTTTGTTGTCATTTCCCTATGTATAAAAAGAGCATTGTACTCATTCAAGAAATAAGACAAATATTATTTCTTCATTTTTTTCAAAGTCAATAACTTCCATTTTTTACCCAACATTTCAAGCAAGTAGATAAACACAAAATCAAAATTGAACAGATCAAAAAGTCCCGGAGAGCAAAATCAACCTAAAAACAAGTTGAAACCAGATCCAAGTAAATTAGAACAAAATCTGAATAGATCTACAAATGGGTAGCTAGAGAAAAGAGAGGAAGCAAAGGGTAAAACAGATACCTTTCAATAAATGGTGACATCTTCTTCAACAACCCAACCAGCTTCGGTACAAAGAGCTTTGAGAACTTCATTCTTATCTCAATGTTTAGGTAGATTGTAATTCCCTTGAAGTCTAAGCCCAGTATAAATCTTAGCAGCAGTGGCTCTCCTCCTCCTCTCTCTCTTCCTGTTATTCTTTCTCTCCCTCAACGAAGGTTTCCTCCTAGGCGTCGACGTTACCCCATATGACGTCATATCTCCGGTTTTACCAACCGAGGTGAAGAGGATCCGTTGGGTCACAAGGGAAACGCTTTTGCTTTGGTGGAAGAAGTAAACAAAATGTTAAACGAAAGAATCTCGCTCTACGTCAAGCGACTACTATCTATTAAATAATGAACAACATCTCAATATCTCGCTTTATTTAAGACCCAAAAGATGAACAAAATACACTTTGCCATCCGCGAGATTCGAGCTAGCCGTCTGGTGTAATAAATTCCATTAATAATAATTTATTTGTAATATAAATATTTAAAATATTATGGATATATTTAATTATTTGTAAGATTCAACTGAAGCGATACATTCCTTTAGAAGGAAGACCGTTGCTCTAGAAACTGATCTCTCCACTCCAGGGGAACTTCGTCCTAAACATTGATAATGCCATTATTTTGCAAGAAAGGTAAATTTATAAGAATTTAAAGAATAAAAATAAGTTATTAATAAAAATATATTTAAAAAATTAAAATATATGATAATTAAAAATTATAGGGAGACGGTCGTCCCAACTTCCTCTCAAACCATACCTATTTAAAAGGAAGAAGGGAAAGATGGGCAATATGATCAAAAAGAATGACAGAGAAAAAATATATGATAGGTTAAAATAGGGATGATCACAGATTCCGAACTCAATCTAATAGGATTAAGTTTTCTTTATAAAAAAATTAAATTCAAATCAAGTTGTATTTTTTAAATTACGAGTGAGGGTCAGATCGAGTTCAGACTTAGGATGACCCGATCTAAGAAAATAATGTAATTATACCTTATATATTTAAGGATAATTACAATAATATGTCTTTTCATGTTATATTTTTCAATTAGATGCTTATTTTATTATATATATATTTGTTTTGGATTGCATACGAATTTTATCTCAAATAATAGGTTGGATTTTGGATTAGGTAAAATCACCTTAATCTAGAATCAGATCAAATTCTGAATAGATAATGTATTTTTATCGGACTGAGTTAGATTGATCAAAAACTTAATCCAGGGTTATGCACATCTCTAAGCTAGAGTGCAGTTTTGTCCGAAAAAGTTGTTGACAAACCGGTGAAACTCATTATCGATTGCGTTTCTTGTATATGGAGTATCCGAACTTACAAATCTAAAAACCGTGCTCAACAAAAAAAAAAAAGTGAACTGTGAAAATTTATATAAGCGGTCCAAAAATTTCTTATTTATTTTTCGCTGATGATATCCTCCTATTACGCAACATCGTTTCTCTTTTCTCCATCGATTATTAACATTCTATTGTCTTCAACCACTGTGCCGGAGTTTCAACATAGTATCTGATTAGAAGAATATAGTAATTGGTTCGTTAGCTTGTTAAAAATTAGTTGGGCTGTTTGAATTAGTTTTTGGTTAGTTAGACATGGGCTATTATATACCCATTAGTATAATAGGCTTGATTACTTTAAATACAATATACTGTAACTCATATATTTTTTTTATAAAAACAACTAATTTTATTAAAAATAAAAAATATTCAAATTATAATAAAGATTACAACTACAACTGTAAACTAAACATATAATAATAACATTTTCCTAAACACAATAAATTAACTACTTAAAATCACACAAGGACTAGGAAAATGTTAAAAATCTAACCAAATAAACTCAAACAAAAAATAAATACGAATAGATCTGATTGCATCAATAAACGAACCAAAAAGGGAATAAAGCCATTGAAAGACCATCGACATACCACAAATCAAAATCGATCGATATGGAAATATTATCCACGAATGCAAATCACATATCCAAATTCAATCCAATGGTCCAAAGTAGGAAAGATCATCATGATAACAAATAAGCGTCATCTTGATCAATCGTGATTATATCAAATCAAACCCTAAATAATATAAACAAAAACAACATCCAAACAACCGAAACCGTTTCATAGAGACAAAAAAAAAGTGCCATAAAGATAAAAGAATATGTCAAAAAGATAAAATTATTAAGAATAAAAAAACAAATATACACTATAATAAGGTAAAGAAAAATAATAAATATCAACTGTAGATACAAATACCAAATCTTATGCCATCTGTCGGAGCCGTCTTTTGGTTGGATCTCGGAATTGGGCTTCGACTTAGGAAAAATGATTTGGAGTCGCCACCGACCAATTTAAAACGAATTTAGGTGGGTCGGACACCATCTTACCTGATCTTCGTTGTACCAGAAACGTGTCGGGTTCGGGAGTCGGTTACGGTCAAGGAAGGATTAGCACCCTTGAACCGCCCTTTTGGTACCGATTAATTTGCCGGTTGTCTTTAATTGCGAAAATTAAAATTTGAATTGAAATTTAAAACATTCGATTCGAATTACTTACCTTTGATCGATTGGAGTACTTCAATAAAAAAACATTAGTAAAAACTAAATAATAATAAAAAAAATAATAAATGTGAAATAAATAAAAAGTAAAAAAAAAAATTAAAGAGAACAAAAAATGAGTTAGAAGAAAAATAAATAAATAAATAAATAAGATAGTATAATACCTACAATAAAATAAAAAAAGATAAATAAAAACAAAAAAGGATCAAAATGAATGAGATTGAAATTTATGGACTGAAATGAAAAAAGTGGACTGCAATAGAAAATAAACAAAATTAGGGAGTTAATTCGCAAAGTATAAAAAGTGTAAACAGTGACTAAATCAAATAAATCGAAACCCAAAGGCTAAATTGCATACAGTGACCATATTGTAAAGCGAATCAAAACACCAAGGACTACGGAATGAATTTAAGAAACCCGTATTTGCCCAATGGTCCTCAGTAAAACGGCGTCGTTTCGTATTTAATATAAATAAATGCTTCAAAGGCCAAAACGGCCCACCTCTTCATTCTCACCAATAGCTCTCTCCCTCTACAAAAAGAGAGAACCTCAGGTTCTCTCGCCTCTCTCTAGCCCTCTTCCACCGGATGGAGACCGACCGCCCAGCCTAACGCCATCGACCGCCACTTCGGCCGCCGCAAGCGGCGGCTGGCAAAACCAAACTCAACCCACAAACTCTCCTTAACCCCGTACACCCAAATCTGAAACTTAAAACACCAAAACTTACCCCTACCGGCGTAGATCTAAGAAAAACCTTTCGGGTTTTTACCTTCCTCCACGGTTTTTCTACTTCCTGAGGCTCTTTGTCTGTTGTTTTGCTTGGCTTTGTTGTGTTTATTGTTTTGAGGTTGGATTTCTCTTGTGATTTCGATCCGTTGGCAGTATTTTGGTACTGTTTTTATGGTTTCTCTCGGTGTACTATCGTTTTTGATGGCTCTGTGTTTTGGGTTCTGCCGTTTGGCTAACTGTTGTGTACTCTGGTTTTCTGTTGGCCGTGTGTTTGGTTGATGTTCTCGGTGATACTTGATGCTCGGGGGTCCCCCCATGGCAGTGGCTTGGTGGGGGTATTTATACCCCCATCGGAGGCCTGTCGGTTCCGAAATAAGGGTGCTCGTGGCCGTTGTGGCCGGTCACCCCGGGATGGGTCAGTCCCGGGGATTTCTGCCGGTCGTTGGCACTGTTGACCGTTCATCTCCCCGGTTTTGCGGTGCCGTTGAAACTGATATCATTCAGGGTTTCCAAACCCTAAACTTACCAGGCTGGATCAGGCCCATCTGTGTTTGGACTCTGACCGTGACTTGTTGGACTGGACAGTTGACCCATTTGAACCTGAAACGGGAAAAAATAAAATAAAATAAGTGATAAAAAATAATAATAAATAATAATAATAATAATAATAATAAATATAAAAACTATATAATATACATTTTTAAAACCGTTTCTTTTAAAAACTATATATTATATATAAACTTAAAAAAATATTTTAAAAAACTATATAATTTTCAAAAATGTTTTTTTAAAAACCATATAATTTTTAAAAATGTTTTAAAAATTACATATTATATATGCTTTCAAAATGTTTTTCAAAAAATTATATATTATATATTAATTTTCAAAACGTTTTAAAAACTATATAATATATATATTTTCAAAAATGTTTTGAAAATTATATATATTTCTTTTCAAAAACGTTTTAAAACTATATAATATAAATGTTTTTAAAATGTTTTAAAAACTATATATCATATATTTTCAAAATGTTTTCAAAATTATATAATATATAAATAAAAAAATATGGACGAAAATGAGTGTCTACAGCTGCCCCTCTTTGTCTTTTTCGTGGAACGAAAAATAGGACAAAGATAAAAAGACACAAATTTTCGTTCGGTGGAGATGAAGAATAACTCCCTATCGAATTAGGTTGTGGATGGCTCCTCCGTCGCGAAGTCGAGTCCATCGTGAAATGATTTGGAATTGAAACCGTAGTCTGGAATTTGAACTGGAACGTGGCTTCTCGTTGCCCAATTGTAGTCAACCTCGGTATTCTTCTCGGTTTAAAGACCTTGGTTAAAAATTCGACTGTAAAGTAGTTCATTGACTCCACCATATGGTTGATAGGCCCTTGAGTTGAACGGAATCGAACTCATAAATGTCTCCGTTGACAAATAGCTTTTCTCGACTTAAGTTATGTTGCTGGAAAACAATTTTTTTATCACTGAGGCACGGTTAACCCAGGTCTTCTTCTGGACTTGAAAACCTCAATTACAGCCGGACAGTAGTGTGATTGAGGTGTCATCGAGCTGATTGGAATCGAACTCGACAGTTTTATTGACAGATAGCCCTTCTTGCCTTGAGCTATTCTGTAAGCTTGATTTGCCTCTAAGTTGAATATAATCGAACTCGAAGGTCTTTAGCA